GCCTGAGCAAACCTCCCCGTAGTCGTTGCCGCCCAGACGGCCTCCGCGGTCTTCCTCGTCATCACCTCGGCCAGTATGCCCAAACGGTGGCTCGCTGCGGTCTCCCGCTGCTATGCTGCGGTCTCCCGCTGCACTGCCGAGAGCCTCGGTGCGATTCCCAACCTGAAGCCCGACAGATCCGACCGCAGAGCAAGCCGCCTGGGAGCCAGAGGCAGCAGCAGGCCCCTGCCCTGCTCGTCGAGGAAGCAGTACGTCTCGATCGGCCGCAGACAGGCCGACCTTGCTGGAGGCCTTGCCTCGGCGCTGGCGCGCTCTCGCCTTAGTCAAGGCCTGCTCGCGCGCTCCAACGCGCTCCAGCAGCTGGGCCCTCCGCATGCTGCGGGCAGCGCTGGCCTCGGCCAGGGCCGCGGGAGAGCGGCTGGAGCCTGCCGCCGCCGACGCTTGCCCGAACAGCGGATTGGCATCCAGCCCTCCAGCAACCGTGCCGATGGTGCCAGATGCCCTTGCCAGCGGCAGGAGCGCCAGGAGCAGCAGCGCGCGCAGCAGGCTAGGCAGCAGACAGCACCTTGGCCCTCTTGACCTCGCGCCAGCCGCCCAGCGCGTCGGTGATCTTGCGCACCTGGCCGCGGAGCTCCTCGCACTCCTGGGACGGGTCCACGCCCGAGCTGGAGAGGAACTCGCGCAGCTCCTCCTCGGTCGCCGTGTCGGGGTCTGGGAGGTCTGGGCCTGCCTCCGACTCCTTGGCGCCCTGGCTGGGCACAGGCTCAGCCTTGGCCTGGGTCGCCCTTGCCTCGGCCGCAGCCTTGGCCTCCTGCGCTGCGGCCTCGACCTTACGCTGCTCGTACTCACGGACCTCGCCCAGCACCGTGCCAAGCTTCTCCGCGAGCACCCCGCTGTCGCCGAGCTCCGCCAACATCGCGCCCAGCTTCTCGATGGTGACGCCGAGCCCCTCGACGATGTCAGCCTTTGGCGAGACGCCTCCAGCTGGTGGACGAGGGAGCGTGGCGGCGAGCCGCGTCTGCTCCTGCTGGAGCTCCAAGATCGCCGCGTCGGACTCGGCGAGCTGCTGCGTGGCCTCATCCACCTCCTTGTTGGCCTGCACGACCTTGTCCTTGGCTGCCTGCAGGGCCTCCTCCTGCTTGGCGCGCTTCTGCTCGAGCTTGCCCAGCTTGAAGGACAGGGTGCGCAGCTGCGCTGGGACGGGCTTCGCAGCGGCCAGCTCCGCGCTGAGCTTCTTGCGAGTGTCCTCCAGCTCGACCCGAGCCGTCTCGAACAGGACCTCGCTGGAGCCGGCGATGGCCCGCAGCGCAGCGTCGACCTCCTCAAGGCGCGCCCTCTTCTGGTCCAAGGAGTCACCCTGGCCCTCACAGTGCTCTGCGCCCTCGTCGACCTCCATGGACGGCGCGTGCTGCTTGCTGGTGGTCTCAGCCAGCTTGGCCTTGGTGCTGGCCAACTCCTTTGCCAGGGCCTCCAGCTTGTCGTTAACCCACGGCGGCACCGCAGCGGAGCCGCTGCCTGAGTTCGCAGCTGGCGGCTTGGCACGCTTGGTGGACGGTCCAGGCGGCGGGCGAACACACATGAATGCCACGGCCTTGGCCGACCCGCACTTGGTGCACGACACCGTGTCGGACCGATTCCACCACTGGTTCTGCGAGATCGGGTGGATGGAGAAGGAGGAGGAGGAGGAGAAGGAGGAGGAGGAGGAGGGAGGGGGAAGAGGAGGAGGAGGAGGAGGAGGGAGGGGGAAGAGGAGGAGGAGGAGGAGGAGGAGGAGGAGGAGGAGGAGGAGGACGGGTCGCCTAAGCCCTTCGGCGGGACCGTCCACCCCATCCCTCCACGAACCCCGGAAATGGCAGGTTCGCGTCGTGTCGACCGGCGGCGACCCCAGCGCGGGCGTTCGAGGTTGACCGCCGCCCGTGGCCCAGAATCGGCCCCTCCTTGAACGATCGGGCCTTTTTGAGAGGGCCGCTCGTTCAAATTTGAACTATCCTTAAGTCAGGCCTGTCTCCCTACAGGAGAAATATTCGACATAATAAAAAATAGTTCGGGGACGATTGCTTGATCCTTTTTGACTATTTGGAAATATGTTTTCCCCACATCCAAAGTGGGGTTCTTGTTTTCTCTGGACACCCCGCGCAGGAACAGGAACCCACGATCATCATCATCATCATCATCATCATCATCACTCATCACTCATCACTCATCACTCATCACTCATCACTCATTCCGCACTCACTCACTCACTCATCATCCCTCACACACTCACTCACTCACTCACTCACTCACTCACTCATCTGCACTCACATATGATGATGACTGTGCGCATGAGAGAGTGTGATGATCATCATCATCATCACCAGTCAGTCACTCACTCACTCACTCACTCACTCTCTCGCCTTGGGTCTCGTCTGTGAGTGAATTGCGAGGAAGTCTCAAGCGGGAGCCCCCTCCCTATGGGGCCCGCGGATCATGTTACTAATCCGAGCGGGTCATCAAATTCCTGTAGCTGTCGCCACTTTTGGGCTCTCGCGCTGCCAGAACGCCATTCCCAGGCCACATCTGTGAGTGAATTGCGAGGAAGTCTCAAGCGGGAGCCCCCTCCCTATGGGGCCCGCGGATCATGTTACTAATCCGAGCGGGTCATCAAATTCCTGTAACTGTCGCTACTTGTGGGCCCTCGCGCTGCCAGAACGCCATTCCCAGGCCACATCTGTGAGTGAATTGCGAGGAAGTCTCAAGCGGGAGCCCCCTCCCTATGGGGCCCGCGGATCATGTTACTAATCCGAGCGGGTCGTCCAATTCCTATAACTGTCGCCACTTTTGGGCTCTCGCGCTGCCAGAACGCCATTCCCAGGCCACATTTTGAATGCCCGGAGCCAACTGTAGGCCACTTCGTGTTCTTCGTGCTCCCAGAACACCATTCCCGGGCCACATACTGAATGTCCGGAGCCAACTGTAGGCCACTTCGTGTTCTTCGTGTTCCCAGAACACCACTCCTGGGCCACTTTCTGAATGTCCGGAGCCAAAACAGGAGGGCGAGGTCGGGGGCAACGTAGGGAGCGGGGGGAGGGCCCGCGCCAGGGCGAGAAGAAATATACGCAGAAGAGACAGCCAGGACGCCTCACCAACCACGAGGACGACGGTGAGTGCTTTTTCCAGATTCGCCCAGAGGATTCTCATGTGGGGTCCTTCCGTCGGAGTAATTACTCTTATACATGTGTCGTCCAAAATCCGCCTGTAGGAGGAAATACCCGACCTAAAACGATTCCCGCGGTGTCAGGAACCGACGCCGGGGTCGACCCGACGCGAACTTGCTGCCGTACGAGAGCTATCGCGCGGCAGGCCTGGGCTCGCGAAAAACTAGGCCCAGCCGGCCCAGGTTCGCGCCGACCCATGTCAGCGGATCGCCGACAGGGGAGGGCAGAGTGAGTCGGAGGAGGAGGGAGGAGGAAGAGGAGAAGAAGAAGAGGAGGAGGAGGAGGAGGGGGATGGATGGAGGATGAGGAGGAGGACGAGGAGGAGGGTGGAGGAGAGATGAGGATTCTAGAGTTGTTCGCGTTATGTTGGACCTCGGTCGGCCTCCTCGCTGACACAGCTGGATCCGCCTCGATGCGTTTGTCAGGACGCGCCACGGGGCAGCTCGGGACCGTCAGAAGCAAAGCGGAGCGGAATAGTGGCTCCCTGGAAGGGATCGAGAGCTCTTTAGGAGGCCCGCGGATGGAAAACAAATCACCTTCCGAGGCTTGGAGATGGGCAGGAGGGCCACGACTTCGGCATCGCGAACATGCCATGACCTCGCGACAGACAGGCCTGGGGCCAACGGCCCAATCTTTGTACGCCATGTGTCAGGCGTGCCGAACGGTCAAGGTCCCTCAACCTGAAACGGAGCAAGAACGCCCTTCAACGCCCAGATGTCAGGGGAGGGGGAGGAGGAGGAGGAGGAGGAGGAGGAGGAGGAGGAGGAGGAGGAGGAGGAGTGAGGGCAAGAGCAGCAGGAGCAGGAGCGGAAGGGGAAGACGAGCAGGAAAAGGAGATGGAGGGGTCGCTGACGAGGAGCGAAGGACGTGCGTTCCCTCCCCAGGGGCACCAGGGGTACATAGTTCTGTACAGAGGAGGGGGACTTCGACGACGGCGACGAGGGATAGGAGGTAGGATGAGAAGGAGGTGCAAGTGGAGGGTGACTAGCTTCTCCCTTTTCTTTTATGATTGTGTTTGTTCTCTCTCGATTTCTCTCCCTCTCTCTCTCTCTCTTTCTTTTTCTCGCTCTCTCTCTCTTTCTCTCTCTCTCTCTCTCTTTCTCTCTCTCTCTCTCTCTCTCTCTCACCAGAGGATGTTTGCGACAGCGGTATGGGCAGTGGTAGTGTACGCCACTATGTCCCCACACCGGGTAGCGTTACGACGGGGCCATTCTTGTGGAGGGTCCCTGGAGGCTACGCACAGAACAAACAATCAAATATAGACATATATATATATACATCGTTCCGTCCGTAAGAATGCTTGCAGCCTTTCTGTCAGAGTCAACGGCCGCCCTGCTTCACCAGTATGCACATGTGTTACAGCTCGCCCACCAAAACTGGATTGATGCGACTCGCAACGCTGCCAGTGATTCAATATTTGTGCCATGCCAGAGTCTAGAGACGGACAGCAGCAAAACTAAGCCTAATGTGTTGGCAATGTTGGTTAGAGAAATGACGACATCCTCAATGTGAACCCCATGTTGCGATTGCATCGCTGAACAAGTTCATGAAGTCGTGTGGGTATCACTGTAGAAGAGACATCCACTTCAAAGATCGAGCCAGTGACTGTGATCCCAGGCTGTCTGAAGACGCCTCGCGGTGATGCTGGGAGAAGCGGCTGGCATTTCCGAGCGAGAGGCCAGAGTTGCGAGTGCAGCCGAAGCAAGTGGGGTGATGAAGACTGGGTCGGATGCGGACTGGGTCGGATGCGGGAAAGATGCGCAGTATCCGGTGTTGTTGGCATGCGTCCGCCGAATTCGGAAGGCCACCAGCTCAATCAACCATCGGATCTTCTACGTCAACGTTGTCGCAATGGTGTTCGTGGTCGACGCAGGCGGCTGCGATCCTCGCTGCCCTCACCCTCTCTAGCTCCCTCTCGCTCTCTCCCTCTCTCCTTCTCTCTCTCTCTCTCTCTCTCTCTCCCTCTCTCTATGTATCCCTCTTCCTCTCTTTGTCGCTCTCTCTCTCTCTCTCTGTCTTTCTCTCTCTCTTTCTCTCTCTCTCTCTCTCTTTCTCTCTCTCTCTCTCTCTCTCTCTTCCTCTCGCTCTATCTATCCCTCTCTCTCTCTCGTTCCCCCTCTCGCCCTCTCGCACTCTCTCTCTCTCTCTCTTTCTTTCTCTCTCTCTCTCTCTCTCTCTTTCTCTTTTTCTCTCTCTCTCTCTCTCTCTCTCTGTATATATACACCTTATAAAGATTGTGTGTCCATTTGCAAGTAAGTGTACATGTACGTGCGTGTATCCATATGCATGTATGTATGTGTCTCTCTCTACCGCCCCCTCTCTCTCGTTCTCTCTCTCTCTCTCTCTCTGTCTCTCGCTCCCTCTCTTTCTTTATCTCTGTCTACTCTCCCCCTCTCTTCCTACGAAGATAAGGCCGCACTCATGCACATGGAGGGAGGGAGAGAGAGAGAGAGAGACACACGCACACAAAGGGCACGTGCGTGTCCAGGCTCACACAACACACACACATGCAGGATGCTTGTATGATGCGAGGTGTACTCTCTGCAGTTTACAGCGCGCGACGCGTCGCAAAGCTACACTCTCGGCGGCCCGCCTGTCATTAGCACTTCCATCTGCTGCCCGCGCCTGAGGTTCCGCTGCGCCGCTGAGATAAAATGGTGCAAATGTGTGGTGTGCAAGGTGCGTGCGTGTGTTATGGTTGGTGAGTGTGGTGTGCGTGTGGTGTCCGTTGTGTGTGCTATGTGTGGGTTAAGTGTGGCTGATGGGTCATTCTTGATGTGTGTGTGTGTTAGGTTTGTGTTGTGCGGGTGTCATCTGTGTGTGTGTTGGGTGTTGTGTGTGTCCTCTGTGTGTTGTGTGTGTGCGTGTGTGTGTATGTTTCCTCGGTGTGTGTTCTGCGTGGTGTGGTTTTGTGTGTGTCCTGTGCATTGTGTCGGTGCTGTGTGGTGTGTTGTATGCGGTGCGTGTGCGTTATATGCGTGTTGTGTCGTTTGCTCTCTCTCTCTCTCTTTCTCGATCTGTTTTTGTTTCTCTCTCTCTCTCTCTCTGTATGGTGCACGTCGGGGCTCGATGTTGGGAGGGTGTCTCAGACGAAACGGTTTTGTGTTTACGCATCGTGGTTTAAAGGGGCCCGATGTTTGGAAGGTGCCCGGGCGAAACTTCATGCTTGAAAAAGTGAGGTCAAAACCATTGAAGTCCGCTACGCTGTTAAAGGTTGTATGATAGAATGCAAGAACTTGCATGATTGTTATTGCCCTGACGTCGCGATCTGCGTAAGGGTGTCACTGCTTTTCAGAATTGTGAGGATGTCCCAGGCGCAACGGCCAGACAAAGCGCGAACGGGACGGGAATCAATCGCCTCTGAGCTCTACTCATTCGGAGAGGTGCGTATGATAATACATACATTGTCGTGCATCAATGTATAGGTGTGCATATTATGTCTACCCACGTCTTTCGCGCGCTCATACTACATAGGCTTGCGAGGAGGCGAGCAGATGGCAAGAAGCGGGGAGAGGACGAGGAAGAGCAGCGGAAAGCGTGAAGGGGAGTGCGAGTGGAGGGTGAAGCGAAGAGGGGGGCTGGGAGAGAGGGGGGCGTGACGGCAGCGGAGGAGGTGAGGGAGGCGTGAAAGGAGGCGCCCCGCCAAGGTGCGACCTCTCCCCGCGCCACCCGCCAACGGCAGCCCCACTGCGCTCGCGTTGCGTGGCGCTCGGGCCCCAGCTTCCTGCGTGTGCCGTGCGTGCGCTCGCGCGCCGAGGGTCTCGCTGTGCCTCCGTGGCCCCGCTGCGACTCGAAAGGCAGCACTGCTCCGTCTCTCTGCCCTCTCCCATGCCTGGCGTCCTTGTGGCTGCTTGGCTCAGAGGGAGCTCCCATCCGTGGCCGCTTTCGACGCGTATTGACTGGATTCGCGCTCCGCCCATCGAAAAAAACATTCGTTTTACATCCATCTCCCCATCATTTAATTGGTAGCGGAGCTTCGGCTCTCTTTTCCCGACTCCGCCATGGCCCGCGTGGCACACTCCCATCGTCCGATCTCGATTCCTGAGTCATCCACCCCGTATCGTGTTCAACCATCCAGTACGCCGACGCGCTGGACCGTATTCGCGGCGATCCTCCCGGTCTTCGCGACGGGGCGCCACGCCCGTATCACGACAATCTGTCGGCGACGGGGTCGGCGTCGGCGTCCCCCGCCATCCCATCTGGGGGGGGCGGAGCCTGTGGAACCCTGGTGCCCATCCCATCTGTGGGGAGGGGCCAGTCAATTCACGACCCTGGGATCAGATTGACAATGTTCCCGCAGATACCCACATATACACGACTTCTGGGAACCAGTCCATAGTACACCCATGTTCGTGCGCACACACACGCAACATATTTATGTATAGTTGTGCATGTGTATACGTGCGTTTACATATGTGTATACATGTATGTGGTATACATACACACGGATGTTGATATATATACATATATAGATGTGTGCCCGTATGTATATATGTATATATACATATATCTATATATACATATATACATGTATGTGTAGATGGGTGTATACACGTGGGTGGTTGTTGTGAACATGCGTGCGCACAGGAATTAGCAGGAGTTTGTTCACTTCACTCCCGTCCAGTACCCCTTGATGGCAGCAGCATGGGAACCCAGAGCGACGGACTGGGCGAGGCTCCGCCATGCTGGACATCTGAGGGGACTGGGCTGGTGATTCTCTTTCTCTCTCTTTCTATCTCTCTCTCGGATTTCTCTGCTCCTAGTGATTCCTTCCTGTCCCCAGACCTCCAGGAGGCGCACAAAGAATGACGGTCACCTGTCTTCCTGATTCTGGCCTCCACGTTGGGGGGGGACGTTTCCCAGGGAGGTCCGCATAGAAGATCCGCGACGGGAGGGCAGTCCCAGGGACGATTGGGAAACACAGTCGAGATAAGCAGTTGTTCGTTGAAGTTTTTAAAAACATGCATCAAGACCCATTAGTTGTATGTCATGGTTGGGTTGATGTATAGTCCAGATCGTTTCGAGTTCGTTTCCGAATTGTGCTTATGATCTTATGATCAGAATGGCCGTTCGCTTCGAGGCACCATCGAATCATGTTTTGAAAAGCTTCGCCTACGAATAAGGACAAAACCGGACATCAGCCGGGCCACTGCAGCAAGAATAACAGCAGCATGGCCGGGACACCTTCGCGATGTCATCAGCGCACGACCGTGGCAGACCATTCGGAACGCCATCCAGCGACTCAATTACCCACAGAGTCGCGAGGGTAGCCACGCATCGCTGTCTGTTTTTATACTAGTTCTGACTATGTCTGAATATGTTTGGATAATGTTTTTAATTTTTCGTTCAAAATCTCCCTTGGGGAGGACTTCCCCCGGGGGGGGGGGGGGCGCGATGGCGCGAAGGAATTCGCGCTCCTCGCGGCGCGAAGCGCGAAGTCAGCTGATTTCCACCACCTGCACAGCAGCGTAAAACAACTGCCTGGCGAAGGGCCCGGCCCCGTGCAGATCTCCCCTATGGGCCCACAAAACGCGTGAGGTGCGCATCCGCAATTTTGTGGAGAAGGCATGCGGGCCCTGGCACTGAGGCCTCAGGTGGAGCTCCCTCTGGGGACGCGGAAACGTGCGAGGAGCGCATCCGCAATTTTGTGGAGAAGGCATGCGGCCCTGGCACTGGGGCCTCAGGTGGAGCTCCCTCTGGGGACGCGGAAACGTGCGAGGAGCGCATCCGCAATTTTGTGGAGAAGGCATGCGGGCCCTGGCACTGGGGCTTCAGGTGGAGCTCCCTTTGGGGACGCGGAAACGTGCGAAGAGCGCATCCGCAATTTTGTGGAGAAGGCATGCGGGCTCTGGCATTGGGGCCTCAGGTGGAGCTCCCTCTGGGGACGCGGAAACGTGCGAGGAGCGTATCCGCAGTTTTGTGGAGAAGGCATGCGGGCCCTGGCGCTTGGGCCTTGGGTGGAGCTCCCCTCCTGGGGCCACGAAACACGTGAGGGTGCGCAATTTTGTGGAGAAGGCATGCGGGCCCTGGCGCTTGGGCCTTGGGTGGAGCTTCCCTATGGTGCCACGAAGCGCGTGAGGGGTGCGCCGAAAATGGTGTGGAGAAGGCCTGCGGGCTTGAGGCCGTGGGTTGAACTTCCCTCTGGGGCCACGAATCGCGCGAGGGGTGCGCGCCGGAGGTGCAGAGAAGGCATGCGGGCCTTGGCACCGGGGCTTCAGATGGAGCTCCCTCCGGGGGAACGAAACGTATAAGGGTTGCGCCAGAATGTTGTGGAGAAGGCATGCGGGCCCTGGTACTGGGGCATTCGGTGGAGCCCCCTCTGGGGCCACGAGAAGTGTGAGGGAGGCGCCGGAATGGTGAGGAGAAGGCATGCGGGCCTTGGCATGGAGGCCTTAAGTGGAGCGTCCCTATGGGGCCACATCACGTCTGAGAGGTGCGCTCCGGCAGGATGTGGCGAAGGCATGTGGGCCCTGGCGTTGGGGCTTGAGATGGAACTCCTTGTGGGGCCACGACGCAGCTGAGGCGCGCGCCGACATGATAAAGAGGGAGGCATGCGGGCCCTGGCGCTGGGGCCTCAGATGGAGCTTCCCCATGGGGCCACGAAGCGCCCGAGTGCTGCGCCGAAACAGAGTGGAGAAGGCAAGCGGGCTCTGGCACTGGAGCATTCGGTGGAGCTCCCTCTGGGGTCACGGCACGTGTGAGAGGTGCGCCGACATAGTGTTGAGAAGGCATGCGGGCCCAGGCACTGGGGCCTTAAGTGGAGCTTCCCAATGGGGCCGCGAAAAGTTTCAGGGCAAATGGTGTGAAGAAGGCACCGGCCTTGGGTCCTTCGGTGGAGCTCCTTCTAGGGCCCCGAGACGTGTGAGGGGTGCGCCGGAAGGGCACTCAGAAGGCATACGGGCCTTGGCACTAGGACCTTAAGTGGAGCACCTTCTGGGACCACGACACGTGTGAGGAGCGCGCTGGAATGGCGTGGAGAAGGCATGAGAGCCCTGGCACCGGGGACTTAGATGGAGCGTACGCGAAACGTGTGAGGGGTGCGCTGAAATGTTGTGGAGAAGGCATGCAGGTCTTGGCACTAGGGCCTTAGATTGAGTTGGCATGGTGTGGGGAGGAGCTCCCTCTGGGGACACGAAATGTGTGAGGGGTGCGCCTGAAGGGTGCGGAGAAGGCATGCGGACACTGGCGCTGAGGCCTTAGGTGAAGCTCCCCTCTGGGGCCACGAAACGTGTGAGTGGGAAATCGGAATGGTGTGGAGAAGGCGCGGGCCCTGGCACTGCGGCCTTAGGTGGAGATTCCCTGTGAGGCCACGAAACGTGTGAGGGGATCGCCGAAATGTTGCGGAGGCCTTCGGTGGAGCTTCCCCATGGGCCACAGAACGCGTGAGGGGTGCGCCAGAATGGTGTGAAAAACCATGCGGGCCTCAGATGGAGCTTCCTCTGGGGCCACGAGTGTGAGGGGGGCTCTGACATGGTGTGGAGAAGGCATGCGGGCCCTGGCACTGGGTCTACGACACAGCTGAGGCGTGCGCCGACACGGTGTGGGGAAGCCATGCGGTCCCTGGCACTGGGGCCTCAGGAGGAGCTCCTTATGGGGCTACGAAACGACGCGGGCCCTGGCACGGGTACCTGAGGTGAAGCTTCCCCATGGTGTCACGAAGCGCGCGAGTGTTGCGCCGAAATGAGATGGAGAAGGCATGCGGGCTCTGGCGGTGGGGCCGCAGGTGGAGCTCCCCTCTGGGGCCACGAAACGTGTAATGGGGGCTCCGGCATGATGTGGCGAATGCACGCGGTCCTTGGCACTGAGGCCTTAGGTGGAGCTCCCCTCTGGAGCCACGAAACGTGTGAGGGGTGCGCCGAAGTGTTGTGGAGAAGGCATGTGGGCCCTGGTACTGGGGCATTCGGTGGAGCTCCCGCTGGGGCCACGAAAAGTGTGAGTGGGCGCCGGAATGGTGTGGAGAAGGCATGAGAGCCTTGGCATTGGGGCCTCAGGTGGAGCTTCCGTATGTGGCGACGAAACGCATGATGTGTGCGCCGAAAGGTGTGGAGAAGACATGCGGGCCTTGGCACTAGGGCCTTAGGTGGAGCTCCCTCTGGGGCCGCGAAACTCGTGAGGGGTGTGCTGGAACTGTGAGGAGAACGCATGCGGGCCCTGGCACCGAAGCCTCTGGTGGAGCTCCTTATGGGGCCGCGAAACGTGTGAGGGTCGTGCCGACATGGCGATGGTGGTAACAATGGTGATGATGATGATGATGATGATGATGCTGATGATGATGATGATGATGATGATGATGATGATGACGGTGATGGTGATGATGATGATGATGATGGTGATGGTGATGGTGACGGTGATCATGGTGGTGCTGTCGATATTTTAAATATGTGAACAGTGATGACGATGCTTATGGTGGTGGTTTTGGTGATGATTGTGATGTTGATGATGATTGATGATGGTGTTGATGATGATGTTGGTAATGGTGGAGGTCATAGTGATGATGATGGCGATGATGGTGACGAGGTGACGATGTTGATGATGATGCTGCTGATAATGATGATGGCGACGATGATGGTATTGTTGATGATGGTTGTGGTGGTGATGATGCTGACGATGGTGATGTTGAGGATGATGGTGGTGATGGTGATGGTGGTAATGGTGTTGATGATGCCAATGATGATGGTGACAATGCTGGTGATGGCGCTGACGATGACGACGACGACGATGGTGATGCTGCTGATGGTGGTTTTGATGAAGATGAGGAGGAGGAGGAGGAGGAGGAGGAGGAGGAGGATGGCGATGGCGATGGCGATGGTGATGGTGATGGTGATGGTGATGGTGATGGTGATGGTGATGGTGATGGTGAGTGTGACGGTGATGGTGATGGTGATTGCGATGGCGATGGCGATGGCGATGATGATGATAATGGTGGTGATGATGATGTTGGTTCGGATGGTGCTGATGATGGTGATGCCGATGACGATGACGATGATGATGATGACGGCGATGATAATGGTGATGGTGATGCCTATGCTGATGATGATGGTGCTGATGATGATGATGATGATGATGATGATGATGATGATGATGATGATGATGATGATGATGATGAGGATGATGATGATGATGAGGAGGATGATGATGATGATGGTGATGGTGATGGTGATGGTGATGGTGATGGTGATGGTCGTGATGGTGATGGTGATCGTGGCGATGATGGTGATGGTGGTAGTGATGGCGATGGTGGTGATGGTGATAATGATGGTGGTTGTGAAGGTGCTGATGACGCTGATGTTGATGAAGATGGAGATAACGATAGTGACGATGATAGTGACGATAGTGATGATAGTGGTAGTGATTATGGTGATGACGATGATGACGCTGATGATGATAGTTATCATGATGGTGTTGGTGAGGAGGAGGAGGAGGAGGAGGAGGAGGAGGAGGAGGAGGGCGAGGAGGAGGAGGAGCAGGAAGAGGAGGAGGAGGACGACGACGACGGCGACGAGGGCGACGACGACGACGACGAGCACGAGCGGAGGGCAGAAGCGAGAGGAGGGAGGAGGGGGAGGATGAAGGAAGGAAGGAAGGAAGGACGGAAGGCAGAAAGGAAGGACGTGGGGGCGATGCGTATACAAAACGAGGGCCCAACACCACAGGATGTTTTGGAAAAAATGCAACTCGCCCTGCCCCCCAGAACGCCCCTGAATCGCCCAAGAACGCCGAAAAACCTCGATCGTCGACGATTGCAACGACAACAACGATGAAATCGACATTACTTTCGCAGTCCGCTGTGGGCAGCGCGACAAAGTCGGAAAAGCCATTGGGCGCCACCAACCAGTCATAAGAAGGACCAAACGAGCAAGCACAACAGCAAGAGCGACTGCGCATTCCCGATTGTTTTCCTTCGGTGCACCCATCGAATCCCGACTGATTTGCGACGGTGCGTAGACGGCGTACTGGTTGAATTTCGACGGTGCGTTGATCGTGTGCCTACTGATGCGTGGCAGCGTCCCTTAGGTGCTCGATGCTGCTTTGATCCTCTCGGGGTTGTTGCCCGGGACCATCAGAACAGAGTCAAAGCACAATCAAAGCGCAGTCAGGACAGCACGACGGGGACAACATCATGACATCACGGCAAGACATAATCGGGATACAGTCGGGACCCGAACGCAGTCAAAGTTCAAGCAGGACACCATCGAGAGACCAGTCGGGACTCCATCTGGACGCCACCAAGAGGCGCCATCAAAAAACGACCCGGTAAAACCCCCCGAGGTATTTCGCCAGGATGGCCCACACGTGGGGAGAGCACCAGAGGAGGACTCGATAACAAAAGGGAGGGTCTTCACAGAACCACCCCCCTGCTCCCCCTACAAGAAGATCTGCTTTACTCCCCCCTGGGGGGATTGGGGGGGCTACACCCCCCCTTTCTGCGCCAGCAAAGGCGGTGGGCGTTGTGTTATCTGCCGTGCTCCTTCAACAGCTCCTATCCTATTCCTCTGCCCCTCGTCTCCGCACTCTGCCAGCGTGCAGTCGCACTCACCCCCTGACTCTCGACTTCGCAGCTAGCCCCACGCGGCAAGCCAGTCTCCGGGCAATTGTGCACTCCTGCACCGCCTCCCCCTGAACTCCTCGGGAACGCCAACTTTCTCATCGGCACCGACCCTAGGCCAGGCCAATCCCAGACCCAGGGTTAGCATGTGCGTTTTTTGGCCAAGCCAGGAGAGGGCGTACACACCGATCCTGGGCCCAGGGATGGGGTTGGCCGGGATCGGTGGTGGTGGTGTCCTCTTCACGTCCTCCCGACTCAGCCAAGCTCCGGTCTGGCCGTTTGCTTCCGCCGCGGGGCACGCGACTGCCACGGTGCGAAAGGATCGTTTCGGAAACAGTCCTTCTCCACGACGCAGTTGCTGAGAGGGCATGTCTTGCAGGCGTACCGCTTTTGAGCGTACGCACAGCTGGTGCACGACGTGCACGAACGGACAGAACTGTGCGAGGAAGTGGAGATTATGCACAAAGGGGGGCGAGGCGTTCAGAGAAGGGCCCACCCTCTGTACCATCTGTCCCCTCCTGTCATCTCTCATTCGGTCCCAGCGCAGCTTGTACGGGGTGCGCTCGTTGAGGAAAGTGCCCAGGGGGCTTCCGACCCTGGAGGATTCCTCATCTGATTGAGTTCGGCAGTGACATACATGGCCAATCCACGATTGGTGTTCCACCAGCTTCCAGGCCCTGGAGTCCCTATCCAAGGGCTCCGTATCCAATGCCCTTACCGTATCTCTCATATACCGGCAACTTGGCCCCGGGGACTCCAGGGCCGCAGCACACCAGGGGGAGCAAGCGCCCTCCCCCCCCTCCGGGAGCCTCCTCCAGGCCCCCCAGGAGGCCCCCACAGCCGCCAAGGCGGCCCAATTGCTCCCCAAGATGCTCCCGAAGAGCCCCCCCCCGAGATTCCAAGAGGCTCTACGATGGCCCCAAGACGGCCCCGAGAGGCCACAAGAGGACCCCAGGAGGTCCCTCCCACAGACTGCCCAAATCCGCGAAAGACAAAGGAGATCATTTGGCTTTGGATGTGATGTGTGGGGGTCCGCCCTTCTGGATTCAACGTGACTCCCAGAGGGCTTTCCTCAGGGCCCTCTTGACCCGTGAAAGTCACGCGAGAAGCTCCAGAAGGCACGCGCCACACCCGAGAAGCGACCAGAGCTCGGGGCTGCGGGCCGTTTTACCGAGCATGAACGAGCTTCGAGATAGCGAACGCTAAGATACCTGAGGACACTCCACCCCGTGCCTACCGAGAGAACGACAGAGTGAGAGAGCGACAGAGTGAGAGAGCGAGAATGGTAATGAAAGAGAGGGCCAGAGAGAGAGAGAGGGAGAGCGAGAGAAGAGAGCGAGAGAGAGAGAGAGAGAGAGAAAAAAGAGAGAGAGAGAGAGAGAGACAGAGAGAGAGGGACACACACACACACACACACACACATTTTGGGCGTCGCGGCCTCGCGCGCAGCGTCGAGGCGTAGAAGAGTTCGAAGAGCGGAAAGCTGGAAGCGTGCGCAACCGGCGATGAAGGAGGAGGGAACGGGAGAGAGCGGGAGGGAGCGGGAGAGGGGGAGGAGGGGACACCGACGACGGGGGCGGCAGGGAGGGGGGGAAGACGCGAAAGGCCAGCGTCTTCCTGGAATTTGGGAGGGCCAGCCCAAGGGGCGCGGGAGAGGCGAGCCCGAGGTCTAACTCTGCACTGCTCCGGGATTTTTGCGCCACTGCCGGGGCGCGAGGACATGTGAAGAGCTCTCGACCTGCGCAGGCTCATGCCAGGGTCAAGTCGGGCCTGTCCCTCGACAGGGGGGTTGTCAGGAGGGGAAGAGAAACACACAGACACAATGAATTCTCGATTCCCCAGGAAAATATAGGAAAATATGGACAGTGGGGGGGAAGACGAAAACCCAGAAAATATGGGCAAATATGGGGAATCGGTTTACGTGTGTGTATTTATTTGTGTGTCCTGGGGCCCCTTTCAGAGTGTTCAAATATAGTCAAAAAATAGTATGGGGACGCTTGTTCGACTATTTTCGAGCTTGTTTTGGGGGGGTATTGCTTGACAATGTTTTATTTTTCATCCAGAATCCGCCTGTAGGGGGGCACGCCCGACGCAATGCCAGGGCGAGGACGCGGGCTGAGAGACAGACCCCCCGCGGCCCGAACCCGACCCGTCACCGCAGACGGTGTTCGTCCACCCTCTGCCGACGCTGCATCCTTACTCTCAAGTCGGGCCTGTCCCTCCACAGGAGGGACATTCAAAAATAGTCCAAGAATAGTCTGGGGACGATTGCTCGCCTATTTGGGCATCTTTTGCTATATTGCTGAGGTCTTTGAAATTCTTCGCCCCCCAAATCCTCTTGTATGGGATGGGGGACTGCAGGCCCGACCTAACTCTATCCTTACTGTTTGGGCCAGGGCCGAGGGCGAGACGAGAGAGGGTCTGATGCCTTCTACTGGTTTCGCTGGCAACTCTCTCCTCCTCCCCCTCCTCCTCCTCCTCCTCCTCCTCCTTCTCCCCCTCCTCCTCCTCCTCCTCCTCCTCCTCCTCCTCCTCCTGCTCCTCCTCCTCCTCCTCCTCCTCCTCCTCCTCCTCCTCTTCCTCCTCTTTCTACTCCTCCTCCTGCTCCTCCTCCTCCTCCTCCTCCTCCTCCTCCTCCTCCTGCTCCCCCTCCTCCTCCTCCTCCTCCTCCTCCTCCTCCGAAGTCGGGAGTCAGGAACGGTTACACGTGCTCAGCATAATCCTCATCAGCATCCCCCTGCTTCGCCGGGCACCGCAGCATTCGTCCTTCGGCTCGGGAGGTCAAACCTTCCCGGGGCACCACCAGCCATGAACATCTTCTTCCTCTCCAAGCGGCCCAAGCAGGCGGCGCGCTGGCACGCCGACATCCACGTCGTCAAGATGGTCGTCGAGACAGCGCAGCTGCTGTGCAACGTCCACCACCGCGCCCGAGAGGCGAGCTCCCACTGCCTGCCGCCCTACACCGCGCGGGCGAGGATACCGTACCAGGACTCGCGGTCTGGCCACCGCCAGCTGGGGCCGATGATCTGGGTCTCCGAGTCTCTGGGGAACTACCGCTGGGCCGTGGCCCTGGGCCTGGCGCTCTGCCGCGAGTACGAGCGTGGCCGCGGCAGGGCGGAGGGGCGCACCGACCCGCACCGCACGCAGGCGGTGCTGGAGTGGCTGCAGCGGCACGAGCCGCACTTCAAGCGCACCCGGCGGACGGCCGTGCAGCTGCGCCACCTGGCGATGCCGGACAGGTTCAAGTGTGGCGACGCCGTGGAGGCGTACCGGGCGTACTACCGCTCCAAGGCCAGGACCATGCCCATGCGGTGGAAGGGCGCGGCCCCGCCGTGGTGGCCGAGCGCAGGCCGGGCGCCGGCGCGAGCGGCACGCCTCTCCGAGGCGCAGGCCTCGCGCAAGCGCCGGCGCCCTGCGGAGTGACGGCGGCCTCTCCGTGCCTCCGCTCCGCTGCGTCGACGCTGCCAGCGTCTCGGCGCTGCCGCGTCTGTCGGGGCGACTCGGCTCCGCTGGTGCCGTCGTGGCTCGGCCCTCTCGATTCGGGGCGTGGCTCGGGAGCGGTGCGTCGAAGTGAGCCGGAGGAGGGCAATGGGGAAAGAGAGATGGGAGGAGGAGAAGGAGGAGGAGGAGGAGAAAGCGTACGGGGGAGGGGGATTCGTCTTGGCTGAATGATCGTCGGAGGAAAGGCGAATGCCAAGGAGGAGGAGGAGGAGGAGGAGGAGGAGGAGGAGGAGGATCTCCCCTCGGGGCTTGCCCCTCAACTATGTCCTCTTTGCACCGGGTAAGTTTTGCTCCCCCCCCGGATCCTGACTGCCAGGTCCTGACCCCTGGAGGTCGCCAGAGGCCCTTGGAGGCCTCCGGGGGCTGACGGAGGCTTCTGGAGGCCCGGGCGGCCCGACGGGGGGCCAAAATGTCTTCAAGCATCCGCCGTAGACCCTCGAGAGCCCAGAGCAAAACGTCGCCTTGGGCCCTCCTCCTCCTCCTCCTCCTCCTCCTCCTCCTCCTCCCTCCCTCCTCCTCCTCCTCCTCCTCCTCCTCCTCCTCCTCCTCCCTCCCTCCTCCCCGGTATCATCATTTCATCGGTCCTTCGGAGGCTTAAGACGTGGTTTCCTCTCGAACCCCTGTCTCTAGCCGCCATGCAGGCGAGTTGGCTCGCACGTGGCCAAGTCTACGTTCCCGGCCGTGCAGAGTGCGGCCCCACGCTACAGCCTCGCCGCAGGGTGGATCACGAGTCACAGGGTTTAGATTTACACGCCACTGACACACAGGTGTGGCTGCCCTGGCCAGCCCGACTCGTTCCTCCACTTTCTCTCCTGCCCCCGCTTGCTGCACCTCACTTCTCTGCCCCACCTGTACATCCCCACCGCCCCCCCTGTAGCTCGTCCTCGGGCCGGAAAAGGAGTATGAGGGTACCGATCTCACGATCCAGACTGCCCACGATCATATCCGCTCAGCGTATTGTCTCTCTTCTATCAGATCCGCGCGGGCACTGCAGCCACCGCATCGCAGCTCGGCAACTACGTCCACCACATTTCAAGACGGCATGCTGGTCCCGTTCGTCGGTAACCTTACGGAACTCCCACGGGACGTGCGATCCTCCTCCTCCTTTACCCCTTGTCCTCTTGCTGCGTCTTGCGGCCCTCGCGGGCACACAGCCGGGTGCGGCTCGGAGAACGGATCGGGGTGGTGCCCAGAAAGGAGCCATGGTTCGATTCCAGATTCTTCTCGACGTTATCCTCCTCCTGTAGATCTTCTGCCCCTTGACTGTGTGATTATATGATTCGGTTCGCGGTCTCCCCGACTTGCTTTGATACCCCACGGTGCGATCATGTTCAGAACCCAGTCGAGAAGATTGCACCGACGTTGCCTGATCATACAGACAGCAATTCCTCAAGCAAGTTGTTTACGGTGGAGTCGTCCGAATGCGCCCACGGAGCAGACGTTATCTTCACTTCCGCAGGATATCCCGTGATTGTGCCCAAGGTGTCACCCCGCCCCTAAGTCGTGCCCTACCAGCCGAGGAGACGTGGAGCCTGTACCCAACGGCTGGGAAAGACTAGATGTTTGATGAGACGCGCGGCAAGTGGAGCAGTGCCACGATTTAGCGTCTTCGTGTCGTCTCCCTGTCCAGCTTGCTGGCGCTCGTTCTGATTTTGATGTGTTGCTTCAGTTTGATTCGTAACTGTACAGACGAAATTGCTGGGAGTGTTTTTGACGTTGTTTGTCTGCCCACGGCGTTTCTTTTCGCGGACCCGCCCACAGAGCAGGATGTCTCCTGCCAGGTAGCCCCGGCACGCCGAATGGTCGGCGGCCTGACGCGTGCGAAAAAAACACCGACGGTCGAACTCAAGGCGTGCACCAGGAGATCGTAGATTTGCTTCCCGATTTCTGGTTGCGCCCTTAGCATGTACACACGGACCGCGGCTGAAACGACCTAAGTTCGCAACGATGGCCCCCAAATTTCAAGCACACGGGTACTCACACCACGTTGCAATCAGCGAGCAGAGTGTGCTACACCCATTCTCAAGGTGCGTTCCTACCTCAAGCAAGGAAGCATGGCCACGCCCAGCATGATCGATCGCGCTGTCGTTGGTCGAGGACCTGTTTTATCCCTGTGCGGCATTCGTCTCTCCTTCTGTGTTGATCCCTCGCATCCCCGCATACACTGCTGTTGTTTGGACAACCCTTTCAATGAGCGCCCGCACCAGGAATTACATTTTCACAGCATATTGGCCGAGGAACTCATCTAACGTCGGGATTGCGTCTTCAACCAGGAGCGCGCTCTCACCACAAATTTCTTTAATCAAGCGTTCGCCTGCAGTTGCTTTGCCACCCACATGATCATATCTTCGTTCGGGAGTGCTTCTTCACCCAGAACGGCATCTTGGCCCATAGTTTCGTGATTTGGGATGGGGGCGAACATTTGGTCATCCGCAACATATGCGCGTCTCCGCATGGATTTGCGCTCGCACCCAGCATCGCGTATCGATCCAGACTTGCAAACGGATTAATTTCGACATCGTCATGTTGGAATGCACCCTCATATTGAGTTCCGTATGCTTATATTGTGTGTGAGCGAGCGATTAATTCAATGTGTTATCACTTATTCCCGCCATGTTCTGCACATTGTCGGAGTCCCGCGGGGTGTCGCCCATATGCAGGTAAGATTGGACCGCGTCAGCATGGGCGCACCAGAACGTGAGATCGGAACGTTGCTGGTTTTGCAACACTGGAGAGTAAAACCCAGAATGTCCCATTGTTGGGGGTCTCGCACGCTGTTGTGTTCCCGCCTGGTGAATGCATTGCAGATGGGGCGTCCAGCGCATTGATTCGTGAATTGCGTAGTTGCTGCGTGCCCCTCGTACTGCAGCAGATGGCACAACGGTCATCTGACTACAAGATCTCGAGGAGGTATAATGTATTAAGCAGTGTTTGCTCTTAGTGGTCCTCACCTGTTTTCTGCTGAACTGGACCTGCAGGCCGCGTTGGCCGCCGTGTGGCCTCCAGCCATCGCCGCCTCGACGCCGCCCGCCGCCTCGTCGCCGCCCGCTTTGCAGTGCTTCGCATTGCGTTGCATAGTTGTGCATGGCGTTGGATTGATCTGCGTTGCTTTGCAGTGAGTTGCGCTACGTTGCCTTGCGTTGCGTCGTTGTTTTGCAATCGCATTGCATTGCAATGTTCCATAATGATTCGTATTGCGTTGCATTTTTATGTCGTGCGTTGCATTGCTTTGCATTGCGTTGCAGTGTGTCTCATTGCTTGGCATTACTTTCCACTGAGTTACATCGCGTTGCATTGCGAGGCATTGCGCTGCGCTGCTTAAATTGCACACTACATAGATTGCGCCGCCTGGGTTGCATCGCACTGGTTACACCACTTAGATGTTCACCACATGGGCCGCACCACGCAGATTGCCCTGCATAGGTTGCACCGCGCAGATTGCACCACATGCCTCGCACGACAGCGATGGCCCCGCATAGGTTGCACCACATGCATTGCACCAGGCAGTTTACACTACATATTATATCGCACAGACTGCACCACAGACTGCACAACACAGCCTACACACATTACACCACTGCATAGGTTGCACCGCTTAAACCTTTTTTTTCTAAAGAATGTTAGGACCCCCCGGACTTAACGCATCGGCCTTTTGTATTGCAATGTGCAGTTGGCCTTGCCCCACTGCCCATCCGAAATATGAACCCAAACCATTCCAGGCAGTCTCGTATCGCCCCCCCGTCCTCTGCAAACAAATACTATGCGCGCGCACTCATTTATCAAACATCCTGGGGCGAAGCGCAAAACCTCTTCTAGGTTTAGCAAGCATGTCGAAATCGAGTGCCCCGAAAACAGATGCGACAAACAAAAAAAACATGGTGTGGCACCAGGAGTTTCAATTCTTGTATAAGAATGCCTTGCCTCGCGATCCTTCACACGTTTAAGAGAACCATCGGTTCTTCAACAGCTTCATCAAATATTACCACGCGTGCCCCCCGCGCGCGCATGTCGAAGATATTCGAACGCCCTCGCGAGCGCGCTGTCCCGAAAAACCCTTGCACAAAACGGGACGAAGTGCACACGCGCGCGCGGTCGCGCTCGAATGCCAAAATCGTTCGAATGCCCCAGGCTCCGTAGCGAACGTCAAAGTCGATTGTCCCGAAGACGTAAACGAAGTGTTGCAACATCTTCCATATATATATATGTATGTATGTATATGTATATATGTATATATATATATGTATATGTGTACCCGTACAAAAACTGCCCTCGCGGTCTTGCGAGTTCTTATGCGCACCATAGGCTTTTGAAAATGTTCAATCAGATTCTGCCAGACGGGCCTCTCGCGCCCCATGGCGAAGTCATTCAAACGCCCTTGCGCGCGTGCTTGGGGGGAGGGCTCGATCCGTGCCAAATCATACAATGCGGGCCACTCTCGCGCGCCGGCCGCGCGCGCATGTCGAACTCCCTCCACAATTTTTGTAATCGACGTGGGGCCGCCGCGATGCGCCAGCCCGCGCCGAGCACTCATCGCAATCACTTCCTCATGGATTTGACAAACGAAGTTGTGGGCGGGTGGGTGGGATGAATGCGCGAGCAGTAGAGTTTTGACACTTTCAAGTTCGATAATGCAAATGCACCGTATAGGGTGCACCACATAGGGTGCATGACATGGATCGCATCACGTAGTTCGCACTGCACAACATTGAATGCATCATATAGGATGCACCAGGTGGGTTCCCCCACATGGCACGCTGGAGCACACCGTTTGGGGCCCACACTGGCTGATATGGATCGCGTGCGTTCACCAAACAGTGTTTGTATTTAGGGGTTGCTGCTCGTCTTGCAAGGAGCTGGGCTTGCGGGCCGCCCTGGCCGCCATGTGGCCGCCGTCGCCACGTAATTGCCCCGCCCGTCGACGCACGTCGCATGGGCTTGCGGATCGTTCTGGCTGCCACGTGGCCGCCGTCGCCGCCCGTCCCAGGGGTTTGCACTCCGCTGTGGCCTCCATGTGGCCGCCGTTGCTGTTTCGTCGTCGCCCGCCGCCTCGTCGCCGCTCGTGTCGCATTGCTTCGCATCGCTCCGCATTGATTTGCATCGCTGCGAATTGCTTTGCATACTTGTGAGCTGCTCTTTTATTTCACATTGCATCGCGCTGATTGACAGTGGCTTACAACATCGTTTTGCGTTGCGACGCTGTGTTTCGAAATGCCCTGCACTGCTCGTCATTGCGTTGCATTGGTTTAAAACGTTTTCCATTGGTTCGCATTGCTCTGCATTGTTTGTCATCGTCCTGCACAGTTTGGCATTGCTCGCACTGCGTTGCATTGAATTGCGTAACTTCGCTCTGGTTCGCATTGCATTGCATTAATTTGCGTTGTTGTATTTGCTTGGCTCGCATTGCACTGCATACATTTGCAACAAGGGATCAAAGGTTGTCTAGTTTCGTAGTTTAGTCCTGATTTTGAATACTATCACGAATCTCACTGAAGGTACCAGTGGGGCACGGACACAAGAAAACATGTTTATTTGCGATCCATTTTGTTTCTTCACAAGTGAACTATATGTTACTTAAGCGCGTCTTCCTCATATATAGAAGCGGGGGCATGTTCCAATATAATTTAGTTATGATCGAAGACAGCTCGACAAGTTTGCTTTTTCAAACTGTCCAACATTTCGATAAGTATCCGGTGTCGTGTGGTTTTTGCTCGACTTATCCGAGAGACGTGAATCTTGGTGTATGCGCTTTTTCTGTAGCATGTAGCAATTCAGGATTTTCCCGAGCCACATGTTACCATCGGTCCGCTCTGTCGGTAAGGGTATAGCGATGACCAAAAGGATGTTTGTTGCAGTTGGTATTTGTGTCGCTTGTGGCGTTGTTTTGTAGCGTCGTGTTGGGGTGAGCGGCGCGAGGGCTCTTATTGAACCAATACTATGCTCAATATATGAATATATGTATGTATATATATATACATATATCACTAGGCGCCCATGTGAACCAGATGCGAATTCAAGAAAATTGGCAATGCAAGACGCCCACTTGGAGCAAAATCTTCGAGAGCAAGCAAGTGCCAAATATTGCACGAACATTTATTCGACAAGAAATGGATGCGAAACCACGCGAGCTTGAGAACACGATGCATATATTTCAAAAGCTGACAGGTTAAGAGATATTGTGCTGTTCTTGCGAAAAAGAACCCTGTGTGTTGCGCGCCTGTTTACATCGACGAACTCAGCACATCGGTTGCAAGAACGTGGAAATCTTCCAATCGAGCAATGGGATTCAGATAAAGGTGATCATTACTTGATCGATTTGATATAGAATAAAATGTAGTATTAGGATGAATGGTTCATGTTTTGGTTCACGCGTGAAACACTTCATCACCGTCGGAACCATCCCCATCCCCATTGTAGTACGGTAAGTTGGCTCTCCCAGCACAGCCCCTCTAAGTGGGGACGAGTGCTCCGGAAACCAGAGGAGACGGTACCCATCCCCACGTCAAAGGGATTGGGGATTGAGGATTGTTTTATGGTCCAGAGCGAACGTAATTAATTCAATACGCCAGGATTGTGACAGACAGGTGTAACTAAGTAGATTTAGAGTTAACCGCGCTGCACATGTATCCGCGGAACAACTAAAAAATATACAAATGCATATGCCCATCACTTGTTTCAAGTTTGAGGTATCATTGAATTTGGATTGAATGCGCCGTACTACGAAGACCGCCCCCCAGAATGCCAAAATATTGCCAAACCTGTCTCTCCCATGAGCAAGGAGAAGTTATCATTTCGCGAAATCCTCTGCTTCGGACCAATAGTTGCTCA